TTAGTATAAACTTCGAAAAATCGAAGTTTTTCAACTTTGAGTCAATATCCATGTTTATTGACGAAAACGTTGAAAGCGGCGATTTGTATCTATTTATTCCGAAGACTACAAATATTCTTCAAAAGTATCTAGTTAGTTTTTAACTTTTATATTTTATGTATTTCAAAAGCTAATTTATATATATATAATACGCAATGTCTACATCAGGAATCTTCTAGAACCTTCTAGAAAACTTCTGAAATCTTCTGGAAAACTTCTAGAAAATTTCTAGAAACTGCCGCCACACGCATGTGTATGTCCAGACAACTGAAATTTTCTAGAAACTTCTATAACGACAAAAAATTATTTTTCAGAATAATAAAGGATTATTTTTTTTGTTATTGTGTGATTTTTTTTCAATAGCTTGGCCCTAAGTATAGTACATGAGCAAAGCGTTTGCACATGCTTGACACACTTGGTAATTTGCACATTAAGTTTAGTATTATGTACACTTTTTGAATGAATCTTTCACAGAAAAGGCATTTTCCCTCCCATACCTCCCGAGAAAACCGCATTTTTTCAAAGTTAAAGCTCCGTAACTTCATAAGGGGATGAGCTAGAAAGATGAAATGTGGTGTATAAGTAGGACACTGCAAGAGGAGTGAAATAAAAAAAAATTGTTAAAATCGGTTCGTAGGAACAGGAGTTATAGGTGAAATACTGCCAACATCAATTCTACAAAAAGTTGCATCTCACTTCAATAATGATTTGGTCTAAAATACTATTTGTGCACGCACCGTTTCAAGATTTAAAAATAGTTGTATTCGATCATACTCGACTGCTCATCATGTTCTGCTCAAAACAGATTTGCTCATCTTCCATTTGCTCAAAATCCTTTTGCTTAACTAATTTTTTGCTCAAAATAAATTTGGTCATTTTCTTTTACTAAAAGTCGTTTTGCTCAAATCATTTTTTGCTCCTATTCGAGGTTACCGAAGTAGCAGAGTAAGTGAAATGACGTTGTTAGGGAAGTCGTCAAACATAAGTCTACGCGTAGATATAGATGAATATCGTTTTCTTTCGTTTTTCTTCGCTAATTTTGCTGAATGAAAGAAATCGAATATAGAACTATGTACAGAACAGAGCACCAGCAAATAAGGAGATATCTCTTTTCACACAAGCATATCTTTCTGTTCTCTTTCGTTTCAATCGACGTGCTGAGACAAAAAAATGTTCGCACACGAGATATCGTATGTGAAAAGAGATATCTCCTTATTTGCTAGTGCTCTATTTTTTATTAGAGAACTAACATATAATGGGATATCTCTTTTCGCACATGCATATCTTTCTTTTCTATCGACTCGATGAAGCCGAAAAAAATGTCCGCACGTGCGATATCTTGTGTTGAAAAGATATATCCTTATTTGCTAGTTCTCTATTATCAGTTACACAATCTAACACAATTTAAAGTTGAATTCTATTCTTTCTGTTTATAAATATTAGTTACACATAGAGATGTATTCGTTGTAGCAAACTTAGAGGCAGATTCCGAATTTGCGTAGGTAGAATAAGAATTTCAGGCTAGCCCAGGCAAAATTAGAATTCTAACTTTGGCTAACGGAGGCAAAATTGGAATCAGTTTGGGTATACCATGGCACATAAACTCACGATGTTTTAAAAATGTAAAAACTCGAATTATTGTCTTTTTGTTGTATGCACACAACCGACTTGTTGAATTAGGTTTTGAAAACTTTGCTGGGTTTTTAAGATGTTTTTATCTTTTGAAATATGAAATTGTTTTCTAACGACCGTCCATAAATTCTAGTCAGCGTAGTATCTATATTATAATAACAACTTAAACTTAAAGCAGGATGGATAACGCACTCCACTTCACTGTGCTCCTCTTCTTTGATGTTTCGATTTCTTTAACTTTTTTTCTATTCTACTCAGTCTCATAATTAGCTTATCTTGTAATTTCATAGACATTCAACATGTGAAAGTAATTTATTCTCTGCGTGAATAAGGAATCGATAGATAGAAAACCTAAACCTCTATAATTTAAAATTTATAAGCATTTTCGACTCAATTTTATCCTATCAGCTTTTTACAATATCGACTATTTCACAAGATTAGTAGTTATTTCTTGTTTACTTTGTGGTTTTATTAATGTTAATATCGATCATGAACTGATTACTTTATTATTATACGTTGTTGCTTCCCAAAGCTTATAAATGACGACAGTCCATGGTGACAATCTTGATCTGAAAAAACGAAAAACAAAAATCAACCAGAATGAAACTACAGTTAAACTTTTTTGTTTTCAGTATATAAGATTAACAAAAACATAATTATAATTGAAGCCTGAAGCTTGAAACAGAATTTCAAGCTCTATCACCTGTATGAATGGCATGCTATTTGTGCTTGCCGTTAATTAATTAATTAGAAACTACGAAAATGTGTGTTTTTCGAAAAAAAGTGACTTCGGATAATTATGGTCAGTCCGTGTCATTTGCACGGAAAAGGCAGAGTTTAAATGCCACCGGCTTTCAGAGACCGATTTTAAATCAATGGCAAATAGAGAAGTTATAGACGAGATTGTTCTCTATTATTATATGAAATTGTTTGGCTGTACAAAATATGAACGTGATGAATCAGATATATTTGATGCGTCATCAGGTAAATATTTGAAATGGTTTATCTAATAAATCATAAGAATCTTTTCTAGTAAATTAAGCCATTTATCAACAATTGTTTGTGGAAAATATAAAATATTTAAAAATGGACAACCCACGAATGGTATTATTCATTTATGAAGCGTTATTCACAATTAAGAACTGCGAAATCAATTCCTATTGAGTTACCAGGAGCAAAAATGACACAAATAATTGTTGATAAATGGTTTAATTTACTAGAAAAGGTTCTTATAGCTTATTAGATAAACCATCTCAAATATTTACCTGATGACGCATCAAATATATCTGATCCATCACATTCATATTTTGTATAGCCAAACAATCAAACATGTTCCTCAATGATTATTAAATAAAGCTTTTTCAATTCACTTCATTCTTTGCTAAAAGTGATCTGACTTTCATCATGGCATTTTGAGGTCATTGAATCAAATGCTGCATAATTCGAATAAAAATGCATGTCTTAGAGTCAAGAGGTAGAGGAGTATCTGGGGAATATGAAAAGCTGAACACATTTTTAATTACACAGTTATTACAAGTACCACCTTAATTGGACTGTCAAAAAGCAGAACTATAGCAGAAATACGACGAAATTTTGAGGAACTGACCGTAATTACTTCAAGGCACTCTATATGTTATGTCTGATTCATTTTCACACTATTGTCTTGAAAATGCTGTTCGAAACAGCGAAACGTCAGTGTTTGTAATTTAAATGAATGTAAAATGTCCAAAGTTTAAATCCAGTTGAAACAGCAGGGGAAAATAATACTGAATAAACGAAGTGAATAGCTGTAACAAATACCATAATTGAAATTTGCCACAGTTATTCACGTCGTTTATTCATTCATGTTCAAATGCGTTGTTATTTCAATTATTTTCGTGCCTAAATTCTTATCCATCAGAAAAATCAATTATCCGTACAATTTAATTCACTAAAACTGTAAACAAAAAGATATTTAAACTCTAAGTTACACCTATTTTACTATAACACTTCAATTTTCAAGAATAATTTTTAGAATTTTATCAAATGAAAACTAAATCGTACTCCTCGAGAGAGAACTTTTTCGAACGACAGCAGTGTAATGAGACAACGAAAAAAATACATTTTTCTTACATAATCTTGAATACTGGAAATATTTGTTTAAAAGGCCTTAGAGTATATGTAAAAGCTCATGCTTCTTTTTTTGCACTGTTTCAGTTATTATTGAAGGTGCATTATGTGTACTCAGGCAAAGAGAAACAAAAAAACAGTAAAAAGTATTTTTATTTCCAGTCGACAACGTAAGCATATATAACATCATATATATATATGGTTATACTTTTCTTTTTCTTTTCTTTTTTAGAAAATACATTATACATTAACATGTCAAAAACGCCATTTTATTGAGATATAAATGTACGACAGAGATCTGCTATAAACTTAATCAGATAAAAGCCACCGATTTTTTCAACTAATTCAATGAGATGGGTCATCATCCTTCTAAATTCAAACCGAACAAATCGTATTCACTAACACCTAAAGGAGGACCTCCTTTTGTACAGCCACATTTACATGATTTATCACGATTCGCTGTCATAACTGTTATATTTAATCCTGTTCACTTTCATACACGTTATGAATTATATCATCGATTTGCAAAACATATGGCAGATTCAAATGTACGTTTATTTACAGTTGAATGTATATTTCATTCAACACGTAAATTTGGATTACCTGAACAAAAGTTTGAAGTAACAAATGCTAATAATCCCGATCATTTTCAATTTATTGCACCATCTATTATATGGTTGAAGGAAAATTTAATCAATATAGCTGTTACTCAGTTACCTAAGCACATTGAATATATAGCATGGATCGATGCTGATGTTGAATTCGAGGTACCATCCTTCACATAAAAAGTAATATTCTTTCTTTTTATAAATTTTTCTTTGAATAATTCAGAGACTCGACTGGCCTCATTTGGCAATGAACGCAATGCAAAAATATAGTATTGTTCAATTGTTCGAATGTGGTTTCTTTTGTGGACCGAATGGGAAGAACGAGATATTAAGAAGAGACTATTCATTTGCCTATAGTATTCGAAATAACAAACCAATTGATCCAAAACGGAAGGACTGGTACGCTCATCCGGGATATGCATGGACAATGAAACGATCCGATTTTATCTTACTAGGCGGCTTACTAGATTTCAGTATTGTAGGATCAGCTGATTTACATTTTGCCTTTGCGCTTTTAAATCGAGTCACTGAGACATTTCCACCCGGATTACATCTAGACTATGCTAGTCTCACCACAAAATGGGCAGAAAAACTATACGCAATAGCAAATGGTGGAGAAAATGTTGGCTATATACCAGTAAATTTATATCATTATTGGCATGGAAGTAGAGAAAATCGTCATTACGTTGATCGATGGTTTGTACAAAATTTAGTTTTTTCTTTGAAAAAAAGGTTCATCCGAACTCGCTAGTCTAACAGTAGTGATGGGTCGTAGAAGATGCAAATATAACGAAACGAAAGATAGAAAACGAAAAACGTACGAGCAGTTACGCACTATTTTTCTCCTTCCTTAGTCAAGCGTTGGCGATAATATCAGTGATAATGTTTTCTATCATAGGATGGCTAGTTCAAACTAAGAACTACCGCAAAAAGGACGTGGATAGTTTAGAGCAGCAAACGTGAAAATTCTCTTAAAAACGCAATCTTTGTGCTTATATCATAAAAAACACATCCGTTGCACACTTATCATTTCCAGTCTTTGTCCTCCCAGTGTCATTTGAATAAAAGTCATTTTATGTTGATTTTTTAACCTAAAGATTATTCATCTACGCCAAGAACATTAAGATTCATTTCGTATTTTAGCGGCGTAAGACGTTAGGCGTCGTTTTCTTACGAGATCATTTTTTTCCCGTTCTCGTCCGACGTAAAATTTTTCATTCTTTTACCTTTTTACAGTATTCGTGGCCGTATGTTTAAACCATACAGAACACGAATACCGTAAGAACGATAACGTAAGGAAGACGCTTTTTACGTCTTACGGTCCATCACTATCTTATAGTGTGAATTTGATTTTCTTTTTCTAAACTATATATGTTTTTCAAATTAAATGTATCAAATGCACACCAAAGGAGAGCTAAAGTCTCGTTATTATTGGGATGTCCGACGAATAGAATAATCAACTCCTTTAACTAGCTTTAGAGAAATGTAACAATAAAAGAAAATGAACGTATTGAAGAGAAAAAAAGGAAATAAGTGTAAAGAAAGGATAAAAAGAATAGGTGCTATAATCCGTTTGAATAGATGCAAGAAAGAGATGCACATCAAAAGAAACCGCCAGAAAATAAAAGAAAAAAGAAACTTTCGAACTCAAACACGCAGGATCGAGTTAGTGCGGACCGATATCAGTCAGTGCTGGTAATTTACAGCATGCCATACGTACTAGTAGTGCCACACTGATGTTTTTGCAGAAAGTACGGTATCCACGCAGCCACATAGAACTGAAAAAAACTTAAACTGAATTTTTCGTTCATTTTAGGTCGATCTTAGAACGTAACCGTTTTTCGCCCTATAGTGATCTTGAGAAACACGATAATGGACTTTTAAGGTTGACAGGTAAAGGAAACCGACGAACAGAAGTACTAGAACAAGATATTGTGAACTATTTTAAAAGTCGTAACGAAGATATGAAAATAATACCATCTCCACAAAAACCCTCTCAACCCGTTAATCGACCAAAACCAAATCAGCAACCTCAGAAAAAATATCCTCAAATAGCGCCACCACGCCGTACAGGGAACTCTTCGAATTTTTCTCGTCCTGTTCCCTCTGCAATTCGCTGGACCTCAGGTGGAGCAAATACTCACGTCGACGACGATCAGTTTTATCATCATTGTACCTGTCATGGACATCACCATCATCCTGGAAATCACGACTGTCCATGTTATATACCAAATGGTGACGACTGCTTTCCTCACGAGCACCATGGGCATCACGGACATCACTCTGATCAACAAGAATGGAATACTGATCACCATAACCATCCTCAAGATTGGCAGCACACCCATCATCATCACGACGATCCTGCTCACAGTGGAGGACATCATCATCACGACGATCATGCTTACAGTGGAGGACATCATCATCACGACGATCATGCTTACAGTGGAGGACATCATTGGGGTCATGATGCAAGTCACCACGATTACTCCAGTGGGCATACGTATGATAATAGTGGGGGAAATTACTCTGCTGGTGATTACAGTGGAGGGAATTACACTGCTGGAGATTATAGCGGTGGGAATGGAAGTTTTTATTAAACCTCCGGACAATTTTTTTACATTTGTATTTATATTACATTTTTATACTACTAAAATCTTTAAATGACCAAAAATATATTTGATCAATTCCTAATTAGTGTCTACGTGCATTTTCATCAGATATAGACTCTCGAAGACCTTACCATAATAAAGCAAACTGATCACATCTCTCTAATTGTAACGTCCACATAGTGTAGCGTTACTTATCTTGATCTGGACAAGAGTCGTTCGTCAACTGACATTGGTTGAAAAATATGACCATTCCCAGGTGTTAAAATTACACTGACGCAAATACATTACGCATTTTGAGAAGAAGTTGTTAATGGCAGGTAATATTTTGATTGGTTAATTGAAAAGTTGTTCTGTCTTATATATAAATAAAAAAAATTTTGTGAAGCAAAGTAGAAACTAATATTCACTGAGAAAACGTGGGTGGGAGAGAATTTCTTCGTTTTCTTTGTCCGGATAAACACCGTATAAACTGTCTTATTCTAATTTTTATATGTTTCCAGACCCTGCTTCATTTAGAAAGAAAACTCAAAGCTGTTCTTCAACAGGAGTACTGAAGTTTTGGCGTTTATGTTTATGGAATGACTTCTGTGTTCCACATAGACAAATTTTTGAAGGTTTTTAAGCATTTGAGTCGGTGAATACAGTTTAAAAGTACTGTAGTCCTGTTAAAACACAAATCTTCTCAATCATTTTATTTCTGTTTACTGATCGATTATTATATAAAGTGCTACATTGATAGTCAAACTGTAAATACGTTTTAGGGCGAATTACATTTCTCCTACATAGTTGATTGAAAAATACGTAAACTCGGTACGTTAAGCAAAGTTACACATACACAACAGTGTCGAAGTCTTCTGAGTTTTGGCGTCAGTAGTACGTGGAACGGTTCATGAATACTGATTATTACAATAAAGTTTTACTAGAGAAAAAAATGAAAGACGGTGTTATTTAGATCCTACGGAGACTTTTTTTTTTTTATTTCAAACTTAGTTCTAATTCACTCTTTTTTTAGTGTAGAAGTTATTTTACGGAAAATATTGTTTATTTCAATTTACTCAACTGAAACTAAACGTTTAAAACACCAAAAAAACGGCGATAAATAAAACGTTTCTGTTGCTGCAAGATCATTAGCGCCGGTGTTCTTTCTCTCTGTGGAAACGCCAAAATCTTGAAATAAATTGAGGTAATTATAGAACTGAACATTCAAAAAAGTCTGTGTAAACTAACATAAATGTTGATTGAGACTATTTTAATGTGCTTGGAAAATAAAAGAAATAGATGATTAGAATGGAACAAAACGCCAGCTTTGATATTCTTTACTTTGTACAAATGGGCTGGATTTATTTCGAGTTTCGCATATTGGACGCGTAGGAAAATAAATACAATTTTATGAGTGTAAAATAGATGGCTGTTAACTTGAATTTAATATTGCAGTGCCGAGAAAATGAAATAAACATCTCTTTCTTTTAGCTCATTTTTAGAATTATCATCCTTCCAACATATATACATATGTTTAGTGTGTACATGGTTTGTTTATTTTTTTATATCTGATTAATGTTTTCTTTATTGTTAAAACTGAGAGTGTAAAAGTTTCATTAGATTCTTGTTGATTTACAATTGTGTATTTGTTGTTTTCTTTCTTTTTTTGTTCCGCATTATTCTACAATTCTCTAGTATAACGCGCTAATGTCATATCCAAGTGGTCAGATTTATACTGTTTATAATCCAACGTCTTCTAGTCCAGTGTCTTCTAATATCATAACGGCACAAACATCACCAACAGTGATGTCTCAACAACAAACGGGTCATCTTTCATTTATTCAAACACCCGCCACGCATTATTATCAACCGTCATCACAAACATATCTCTCTCAACAACCAACAAATAGTAATCTCTTAGCAAATACACTACAACAACAACCTCAACAAAGACTATGTCGTCCATTATCTTCGCCGGGTTTTCAAATAATTAATAGTTCTGCATCGTCTACTCTTCCAATGTTTTCAAACATTAATATTATTCCGAATTCAACAATAAACAATCAGCCGTGGCGTGTGTCAAATCCACAAATAGTAACAAAAAGTCAATTATCATCAACAACACCGGTATCTACGATACAACCTCAAAATAAAATTGTTTACATTAATACATTACCATCATCGCAATCGTCAAACAATATACACATGACGAATATTTTACAACCATGTAAAATCATTTCGTCGCCGTCTATTCAAACCGTTTCAACTGTTAAAACATCCATATCTCCTCCTATAACATCAATAATGCGACATACATCCGCTCCATTGTTATCTTCATTAAACAACGTTAACATTCTAAATCAGACTGATAGTAGTATATCACAACAGTTAACACCTAGGGGTATAGGAGTGACGAGTCCGTTAGTACTTTCCAGTAAGAAATGACCAAGGACTCCTATTTTTCAAGAATTATTTGATAATCTTTACTGTTTAGCTATATCGCCGTCGTTTTCATCATCAAAAGTAGGACATTGTATAACACCAACGCCTATCGTTACTGGAAATGTGGGAGCGTTAACAATTCAGCAGCAGACACTTTATTCTATGCAACAGCAACAAAACAATTTGCAAAAGCTTAATTCAGGTAGCATTTAGTAATTAACATCGTTTTTATTCCAATCCCATCTTATGGGAAGAATCGTCTGCCTTGCACCCACCGTTATTGATGTAGACTTCTGAAAGATGTTAGTATCAAGTAGCCTTGTATCTTCTCTACAGTTGACAAGCTCCCGACATGGTCATCTACATCGGTACTAGTCATCAACTGCAGCTCTGGCTAGACTGCTATACAGACGCTTTTTATGTAACATCATGTGGAACTTTTCATTACAGTAAATAACTTCGAACATGTAATGCATAACAAATCAGTAAACAATGAAATACAAATTGATAAGGAAGATGTGGAAGAGGAAAATAGTGATGATGAAAGCGATCTTGAAGAAGACATTGATGATGAAGAAATGAAAGAAGCAACGTCACATCAACACCAGACAGACACACAAAATCAGCTAGTAAGATATTGCTTTTCTACGATTTTTAAAGGCTGTACGATTAGTTACATTTCAGATTGAACCTATAAGGTTAGGAGAAGGAAAAACTTCCGTGCGGAAAAATAGCTTATTCTCAGCTTCACTTTTCTTTATACTATAAAAAGCAACGGATTTGGCTGAAGTAGATGGTAATTAGTTTTCACCTCGTTCTTAAAAATGATTGACTTGATAGAAATAAGTCCAAATGCTTGTTATTTTTGCGTCGTTTTAGTTTGTACATTCAACGGTCGATTCAAATGATGATGTTTTCTCGCCACAACAAGATCAAGAAATAGAATTAAATATTAATAATGTTGTTTGTTCATTTTCACTTGGTTGCAAAATACAACTTCGAAAAGTGGCTATGGAAGGAGCACATGTCGAATATAAACGTGACAATGCGGTAAGAAGAAGAAGATTTATTCTTTTTTTCTTCTACTTTCTCAACTTCCTCCTGCATCAAAAAAAGAAAAAATTGAACTTATTCGTTTTCATCTAGATGGTTATGATGAAAATACGAAATCCATATTGTTCAGCGAATATATGGGCATCGGGCAAAGTGACAGTGACAGGCGCTACAAGGTTTGTATATGTTTTTAAAGTATATTCTCTGCTTTTAAATGGATTGTGTCATTTTTGTTGTAGTGAAGATGATGCTTTACGCGGTTCCAGACGAGTAGCACGAAGAATACAACAACTGGGTTTCAAAGCAAAATTTTGCAATTATCGTGTTGTTAATGTACTCGCAACATGTTTAATGCCATTCAATATTGATATAACAAAATTAAGTCATGATAATTCATATTGTGTCAGGTAAGAGAAAGGTCACAGTTATATTTTTTGACAAATATTAATGGATACATTAACTACTAGGCATCAACTGTTTTTAGTGATATTGCTATCTTGTCGATCTTCTTGACAGTGATTATTTGTAGTGTTTTAATGTCCACTTAACTAAGAAATCGCGAAAGAGAAATTGGCAAGTTTCAACTATTTGTCTTCTCAATTGCTCTCATATGAACACTGACGATCGTACTTTTCTTTCTTGTTAAATATTCAGCGTGAGAAAATGGCGAAAATTCAAATATAAACTTAAGGAAATTTCCGATAGTTAAGTCAAAGAAAACCTTATCTCTACAAACTCCAACTATACACGCTCCAATTAAGAAAAAATACGTCAATTGTTTTTGATTCATGCTTATCAAGTTAAGTTAATATTGGCGAGAAATCCCGTGCTTGAGATACTTATGCGGATCAAAGAATTAAGCTAGACGAATCATTACTAGTAATATCAGTAGTATGTGGTATACAACAGCCGAATGTCGTCTTTCCACTGCCTATCACCTGTTGACATGTTCTCCAAAAATGCAGTGCAGTTAACTGAGAGGTTTAAAAATTCAAATGTAGGGCTTAATATTCATTTCTGAACTAAATTTCATGTTTTATAAAGAGTCTTAGTTTGAAATTATCCTCTAACATAAGTGTTCTGAGTTTATTAACCTAACTTGATAAGCATGAATCTAAAACAAATGATTTGTTTTGTTAAGTGTAGAGTCTGTCATTGGAGTTTGTACAGATAAAGTTTCTTCGGTTTAACTATCAGAAATTTCCTTAAGTTTATATCTGAATCTTTCCAATTTCTCTTTCGCGCTTTCTTAGGCATACTCTAATATCATAAGTTTTCGTTTATAGTTATGAACCGGAAATTTATCCCGGCGCAACAGTCAGATTAAAAGAATTTAGTTCAACAATGAAAGTGTTCACAACTGGTAGTATTACACTAACAGGTAAATGATTTTCATAAATATATAATCAGTAAACTGTATTCTTAACAAATTTTTTCGTTTTTTCTCGTTTAGCTCCATCGGTTGAGAACGTTAATCTTGCTTTAAATGCATTTTATCCACGTTTATATGAATGTCAAAAAGGATCAAACGCATCAAAACAAGCTGAGCGTCGAAACCAACATCGTTGAAACTTTCTCGCTTATCATTTCTTTCTCTCTCTCTATCTATCTATCTCATGCAAACACTATAGAAATTTTTTTTAATGACACTTTGAGATATACTTGTAAAAAAATAAGCATAAAAAATTATCCCTTTATTATTTGTGTCTTTACTAAATATATAAAAACAACGAACATCATCTTCGTTTGTATTTATCTACCTATCAGGCGATGTAAAAGCGTTTATAAACAGTTGTTTGTTATGCAAAATGCACACATAATGTGGTAACTTTTATCCATTAACATTGTTTACTTGTTTCTCCGCATTTATACCTTTTTTTGCTGTTGATGTCGTTTTGTGCAGTTTAAAAATAGTAGTCTCCATCTTGGGGTTCAATTTTTTTTCTTATTCTTGACCCAAAACATTTTATTTCTTTTTTTTCCACAACATACTATCATGGGTAGTCTTCTGTTTCTTCTTTTTTGATTGATCAACAAAAAAAAGTCACATGTATGCTTTTCACGGTGTGTTTTCAGCTATTTCTATTGTGTACATAAAAAGAAAAACACGCCCATATGTTTGTATAGAAAGGGAGATGTATGTTATATATAGCATATTCAAAACGTGCAGTTTGTTTTAACTGTTATCTTTGTTCTTGTTACTATATTGTGTTTCATTGTTAGAGTCCTCTACTTTTGTTCTGTTTATTTGTGTTTTTGTTTTCTCAAAATTATATCTATCTATCTATATGCTACACACTTTGTCTATATTAAAGGAAAAATAAAATGATATAAAATTTTTTAAAAAATGAAAATTGTTCTATATCTACTTCTATGTTTTTCTTTATTGGCAGATACCATGTGGATACTGGATGTATACAAAAGATTGAAAACTGAATAAAGTATCTGAGTTCAGTTTTCCAATAAACAAAGAGTTTGAGTTGTTTACGTTTAGTACTTTCGTTAATGGACACGTATGTTTGAAAGACCCTTTCATCTATTAGGCTGAACAAGATGCATCGTCTTTTATAAAAGTTTTTTGATACCAGCAAAACTAATCAGAAAATATTTTGTACGGATAAACTAGTTTCATTGTATTAATCCTACTATTTTCGTTTCTCATTTCACGTAAGTCAGTAACGGGTGTCTCATAAGAAATGAGTCTCTCCATATTTTGACTGTAACTTTTTATTTTCTAATCAGATGTGTTGGATTTTGAAATCGTTGCCCTTTACCGATATTTTTGTTTTCTCAACCTTGCGACCTGATTGGTTTTCTAAAAGATGCGCTGTCAAATTCTTATATGAAATATTTTTCTTTAGTAAGTTAAGGAAAATTAAACAAAGAAAATACAACATGTAAGTTATAAACGGACCAACTTTCAAAGCAGAAAAATCGTTTTTTCAAATTTTTTCAATAATTAGTAACAAGAAAAATAAGATAATATAAGCATTTTGTAGCTCTTGAAAAGCTCTGTCGACCAGTGATACGTGAAAAAAGGTTATGCCAATCTTTGGGACTTGCACCGATTTTATCCTCGTTGAGTTTTCGGAAAATTCAGCTGTTTGACTCAGTACTTTCACAATTCCTGGAAAAACATACATAACTAAGGGAAAATGGAATTTTTTGAGCTCGTGTTCTTTTTGTTTTGATGAGACATGACTATTGGACCATATTCACATGTGCGAAACTTTACCTAAAGTTTTCTTCTTAACTTCAGCTGGCGACTACACAAGATTTTGCTGATTTTGACAAGTTCGACTTGCCGACGTTTACTCTGATTTGAACGAACTTCGCATTATATGAAGAGAAAGAGCACACTTCAAAGTACTCGGAAACAACTTCCTTTTGTTTCGTTATCTTGAGAGTTGTTTAAAACATTCTTAAGTTGGTAAAACAAAACGACTTTGAAAGTTGGTCCGTTTATACGTGTTGTGTTTTCTTTGTTTAATTCTTTTCCTTAATGTACTACAGAAAAATATTTCATACACATCTTGTAGAGAATTTGACAGTGCTTCTTTTGGAAAAACAAGCCAGTCTAAAAGTTGAGAAGATAAAAAGCTATAGTCAAAATATGGCGAGGCTCATTTATTATGAGACACCTGTTATTAAACAAACAAGAGCTTTTTCTACAATGTAATTTTTCTTTTACATAACAGAAAAAAGGAAAGTAGCATTTCATTATGTCCCATTGTCGTCGATTTTACCCCTTCGAACACTGCAGTTTGTCGATATTATGTTATTTACCGGGTAATCTGCTGAAAAAAATTTTTTTTATTCAAATACTGCAATACTTTGATAAGTATTCACCACAACATCATCTCGAGTACGACTAGTACGCACAGTCAGTATCCATCAGTGTTGACTAGACATTTGTCTATTGTGTCCAGAAGGTCACAACTAGTATGAAAGTAGTAAAGAGGAACTCAGTTGTTTGAATGGGATATGACGAAAAAAAAAAAGTATTCTGTTTTATTGAACAAATGTCTTCAACACACAGATGTGAATATCGATTTAAATTCACTTTATGCTCTTCTCTTAATAATTCGCATTTATATAATAGACTTTTACAGACACTATAGAAACTACATGCAGGAATAGATGCATAAGTGTTTCCCTCTTCTGAACTTTGACAATTATAACAAAATTTTAAATAATTATCAATGGTTAAATATTTTTTGTCGACAAAGAGCTATTGTGTATTTATTTTTGTATCATAAATGGGATGTTTTCAATTTTATCCAATCAACGAGTTGTCCTATCAATAATTCACATAACATTATTAAAATAAATCATGTATTATTTATTTTTTATCATCATTACTAATCATCCATCGTCCTCCTCTTTACTTGAAACTATTTTAGATGTAAATATTCTTAACTCTTATGATTGATTGTCCATCGTCTAAAATTGAGTTTTTAAAAATATGTACATGGACAAAAACTAATTATCACTGTAAAGGATAAGATCGTATTCGACGATATGAATAAATACAATGTAATTTTAGATAGTTCAAATGTCTTTATATCACGAAAAAACAGTTAAAAAAACATAAACATGTTCTATTAAAAGAGCATTTAAAAGAAAAAAAATAAAATTTCATAGTAAATTATTTGAAATGGCAAATGTTGAACTATAGATTAAACATGAGTTTACGAAAGACAATACATAACATAAACAAAAAATTTTTTTCTAAGAAACATTGTACTGTGCGTCATGACCGTGACATGTTAATTGTTAATATACTTTTCAACGTAAATTAATCGTAGATTAGTGACCAGAAATAAACGTATCCTATTTTTTATTTACATTAATCGAGAAGCAAAACTGAATAATATATATTTATTTATTTGTCTCTTTTAAATCAATTGTGACAAAGATTATCGGTAGACGGATCTGTCTTCCCTCAATATTTTATGTCAACCAAATTTTTTGTCTGTGACGTGGCAGATTTAAATGTATCATTTTTATTATCATTTTTATCTCGAAAAAAGTTTGACAAATATGATGTATAATTATTTTAAAACAGATGAGCTTGCACATGACATATTGTCTATTATTTAGTATACTATTTACTTGACGTTAAATTATACGTTTTTATTAAATTTATTTCTGTTTTTTCTACTTCAATGGGGACAATAGAAACAGTATATTAGAACCTGGAGAAAAATAAAGATATCTTACTTTTCTTTATTTTTGATATTTTTATTATTTGAAGAAAATATTTTCCTTTCTTTCTCGTAAAGAAATCGAATGTTCTCATCTGTTTAAAGAACTATACATATTTGTCACGCTACACTGCTTTTATAGTTGAAAAAACGAAAGCAAGAATACAAGTTCATTCATCACGTATAACTATTGCTATTTGTTATTATGTCGATAGTTATTATTATTTTCAACGTAAATATAATGATGACTAATCGAAATAGTCACGTTTGTTTCTAAAGTACACTGAGACTTTTGTTTGCACATGTTTTTCTTATGATAGTAATAATAATAATATAATATTATTATTATAAATGTCCGTAAAACAGGAACATCGTCCCCATTTTCATTCAACACCAGTACTATTACCTATTGATAACAATATGAATAATAGTCAAAATAACAAGAACAACAATAAGGTGGATGATAATTTATTTCATGATGAAATTCAACGATTTGATGCTGATACAATAGAACAACATTATGGTGGACAATGGAAAGCGTATGCATCGAATGTGCGTGAAGTTAGACAAGCAGATGGATCAATTATCAAAGAATATATCATTGAAGATCCAAGTGTATTAGATCAAATACAAAAACAGCAACAAACACATCGACCAATTAATCCATCATCGACAACATCATCAGAAGAAGGTAATGAAAATGAAAATTATCCATTAAAAAATAAATTTCAACAATTAAAAGCAAAGTTTGAACAAAAAGCATCGGTCATGCCATCACCATTGGTCTCCTCTACCATGAAAAATAGTTCACGTCAACAAAAAATAGATGAATTATATTCAAAACATAGTCAACAGCAGCAACGACGAAAATCAGATGACTCTATAATTTCGAATGAAAATCGTCAAGAACCACCGATAATAATGCATAATAAAAATACGCCTGAGAGTATAGACCATCAAGTTCAGGAACAACGATATAATTTAAATTCAATAACAAAAAATCGATCACAATCAACTGATAAATCAAATACAAATACATCAAGAAGGTTTAATTCTGTCGATGAAGCAGATGAAGAAGTTCAACAAATACACAGACAAGGTAAATGCTCCAGTTTAATGGCACAAAAGCGTTACAATTTGTTTCTTTTTTCGTAGGAGAAAAATTACGTGGTATATACCAAGATAAAACACGCTCAAATGTAGAATATGAAGTTGTAGATGAGAACGGTGAGCCAATGATGATAAATGGTGTTCAAGATTTAATAAAAATGGCAGGTCGATCAAAAGAAATTAAACAACCTGATGGTACAATTTGGAAAGAATATGTGATAGATGATCCTGCTTTGTTATCAAAGATTCATTCATCACAATCATTTACTAGTGAATCACCAACATCATCCAAACAAGTTTCGAATTCATTTTCGCATCATAATACAATTCAGACGCCTCCTACACCACCACCTCGAGTTCCTTTACGTCAACAACTAGGTCGACCATCGACTAATAATCAGTATTCACCAGGAACTCCAGCAAATATTCCTATGAATCCTATACCTATTAATCATATACGTACATTAGAATCGAATCGTCGTTATGAATTTACAACATCATTAGGAAAAACGATACAATTTCATATTTCGAATTTTAGTGAAAATATTCTTACTGATGACGATATATGCGAATTAACTCACTCGATCAATAATCATTTTACAATTGAACCACAACAGAACTCATCTTTATCAACATCCATGCATACATCACCAAAACAATGGAATCCCGATTTGATACATCGACCTACACCACAACACGTGCAAAATCCACCATCGTCTCGAGGTCGCTTAGGTTCAAATGACAATGGCCTTACACCACAAATGTCCTATAATATTGGTTTTAATTCATATCCGTCGACTAATCAGCCAATGCCTAATGATCTTCCTCGATCTTCATCACAGGGTGCATTAAATCAAATTAATTATTTACCACGTAATAATTCATCAGGAAATTTAGCTCCTTCGTTTCAACAGCAATCGCAACAACGTCCTCCTATATTTCCACCTGCACAGCCTGCCAGTGAGTGGAGTACAAGCAAACAACAGGCATATCCGGGAGAAATGACAACTATTGATCCAGCTATTTTACAAAACATTTTACAACAGCAACAATATTATCAAGTACCAGTATCAAAAGAAGGAGAAAATATTTCTTCTCATCAGTCTCGGCAGAGTCCATCAGGTTTCCAATCACAAGCACAATTTTTACCTCATCAACAACTGTCGGCTCCTAATGACATGAACTATCCATCTCAAACATCAAATATTCCAGTTTATCATCAAGTTCAATCACAACAACAGTCAAATCAATCATATCCTTTTAGCGGTGGACAACAAGAACACGGTGTTCGAATTTTAGGCGCTGATATGTCAAACATTGATGCCTTACCATCAGAACAACAACAACAACAACAACAAGCACCAGTAACAAGACCAAATATTAATATGAGCGGGCATGTTCGAATCTAATCCCAAAATTGTTTTTTGGACAGTATATGTAAATACTGCTGGGACTGACAAGTTATGTTTCTACAAAGAGTGTTTTCCGTTTATACTGATATTTTCTCTTCTTTTTTTTTTGAAATACTACCCGTGGCTTTCAATCTATGGTACATAAAAAAAAGGTCGACAACAATACCAGATCGGTTTGGATTTGACGAAACTGGAGTTGTTGTGTTAAGCAAACAACTGAAGAATCTCAATATATATTATAACAGTTGAAATGTTTTCTCTTCATACTTCTTAAACAACTAATATGCACTGTAGAACATCTCGTATATTAATCAATTGCTAAATACATATTCAGTAATGTTCAGGATAGTGCATGACAATAGATAAATGGAACGACGGGTGTCGATAAGAGGCAACATCGGCTCCCTCACAGATCAAGCTCATATTAACCGATCTGATGTAGTTTTAACCCAACATATTTTTTTTCTTCAGTGTCCCTTCGCAAGCAAAACTTTTCTTTCAAAGAATTTCACAAAATGCTCAATAAAATATTCAGAACAAAATGAGACTGAGCAGTCTAATATCAGAAGTACTCTGCAACATCTCAGCAAACCGTTCCATCAACATCGTTTATGTTTGGCTACAGAATGAGGTATAACGTATTCTTTCAAATTGTAAGTTTGTTAGACTTATGGGCAAGATGCCGAACGGATGCAGTAATTTTGACCTGTTGTAGAATGGTGAATGAGATATAGTGTTGTACACAAAATCGGACCCAAAACGCTTATGATATAGAAAAATGTAGAATTTAATATGCTTCAATTTCAAACAAATCAATTTTTTCAAAAAGTATCCCGTCAACCATTTATATACTGAATAATATATGACTGTCGCGACTTTTATTTACGGTGGCTCTCGAAATTATTGAACCACGTTTATTTTTAGTTTTTCTCCTCGAAGATAATAGCTACAACAAATATGAGGAAAGTTTTGAATAGCTCAAGGAGTTTCCAATCTGGTCTGTGGCAAATAAAGATTCCACTGAAATTCACAGGACTCAGGTCTCTGGAGAATCGTAACCCTAGAAAACCAAGTCCCCCAATTCGAATGATACCTTTTTTGTAATAGCGTGTACAGAAAAGATTTCTGATAAACCAAGACGCTGCTGAACTCTCTACAACACTGTTTCATCAGACAGCATTCAATTTAAGAACAGCCCCATGTCAGCAAAATTATGCCGAAGCTCTTAAAAAGCGGTCACAACCTCTTAAAATTGTGATCGCAACGTCTTAACTGGTGGTCACAATCTCTTAAACTGGCGGTCACAACCACTTAGGTCGGTCACAACCTTTTACATACCTGCCTGATATCGACTGATATCAGGGAAATGGTTTTTAGGCGGTCACAATCTCTTAAGAGGACGGTTATATTTTTGCAACCATTTTTTCTAAGGTCAGCTTATACGTTACAAAGTTTTCCAGTATTTTTGCATCGAGTGGTTTTTTATCCTCCATTGATTTTTTTAAAAAAAATAGACGATCCAATTATGAAGAGTGTCACACGAACAATACAATGCATTACTTGATTAATAGTGTCATGAGACATATAACTGAACGCCGTCGATTTAAAAAATGTTTACATATGAAATACAGATGAATAAGTTTCATTTTTAGTTTCTCAAAATAAAACATAGTAGTAGTAAATCAATCGTTTCTAAGCAAATTTCTCGCTGATTCTTATTGATCTATCTTGATCAGTATAGGGAGTTTCACCTTTTGGTACCGAACGTATCACCCTGACAAGATTTTTTCATAATCAAGATGTAGAAAAGTTGATGCTTATTTATCTTGTTTTTAATATTGTAATGAACTCATCTAGTTCAACTCCCACAGAGGATACTGTCATGTTTTCCACACCTATAGAAAATCTTTTTTCGACAGCCTATGATATTTACAGACAAATCAACATGATTTTACATCTCTAAGGGGGTGTTTGTGTCAAACATCATAGGCTGTCGAAAAAAGATTTTCTATAGGTGTAATATTTCTGTGGAAAACATGACAGTATCCTCTGTGGGAGTTGAACCAGATGAGTTCATTACAGTATTAAAAACAAGATAAATAAGCATCAACTACATCTTAACTATGAAAAAACGTAATCGATGACCAGTTTCAGTTATTAGGAACGGTAACTGGAACCGTCTCAGCTCTATTTTATATCATATGTTGAAAATCGGACATAAATCAACATTCTTGTAACTGACCTGAGATTGATATATGTTCGAAAAAATCATTTTAACTTTCATCTTCATTCCATAATTTATCATTTTACTTGTCTTTCAATGATTTTTCCGATTTTAAACAAGATCCTAAGTCGAATGGTAAAAGTTATCTATTATTTTAACAAATTAGCAACAAGTGATATCTAACCATAATATTTCATGATCTCCGTCGCGAGTCTGTTTATTCAACAAGGATTGTTCGAACTACCGAATAAAAATCTTTGAACTTTAATAAAAAACGTTGGTCGGACTATCACTATCAAAATATTCTTCGATAATAGTACTCCTTTTTAGTTATGAACAATCCTATCTCTTCTTTTTCTCAAAATATAAAAACACATCGATCTTCTCTGTTCAACTATATTTCGAATAAATTTCTTTTAAATAAAAATATTTAAATCCAGCACTTCAAGACAATCATCAAAATGTGAAAAATAACCAACTTCACAATATTCTATCAGAATCAACTAATAATCTGAAAAAAATAACACGACATGAAAATATGAACTATTTTTTGTTAGTTATTGTCTAATTAATTTACTTATATTTATAATTTTTGTTCATTTTGCTATATTAAATGAAAAAAAAAGAAAAAGAAAAGAATCTTTCTAATTACGATAAATATAGTTAATTGTTCAACAACAACAACGATAGCACGGAGAAAAGATTTTGGTACGTACTTGAGATAATTCTCTCAAGAAAAAGTTCACAAAAATATATGATTAACACATTTTGAAAATTATTTCTATCTTCAAACTAAATGGTTATTTCAATTTTCAGAAAAAAATACAATATATACATTTTCTTAGATGTTCTGTGTTGAAAAAACGTGGCAACATCACCTTATCTGATTTGATTTTTGACTTCTAGATTACGAATCAAAAGGATTAGTAGATGAAAATCAAGAAACAATAAATTATATTATATAGACTCTGTATTAGCAAGTACCATTAGGTGTCAAAAACTATTTGATAAATACGTCACTTGACATAGATATTTTAGAGTCGATTGAAACCTAATAGAATGTTCATCGTAAAAACATGCAATACATAATAAATTTAATCGTCAAAACAACTCCATACGGACTCATAACACAACATATATATATCTTTCTACAATTTCATCGAAACTAAAATCAATTATTTGATGTTCATCTATTTTTGCAATTAATATCAATGTTTTTCTCCGGAAATTTTTATTCTTTACTTTATATATATAAATATGATGATGAAAAGTTAGTTTCTTCTTATTCGGCTGTATTACATTGTTTTCAATACAAGAAGCGAAAAAATGAGAAAAAGATACACACATACATATTCATCCATGTCATTCAATAATATATACAATACACAACATCTCTCTTTTCTTTCTCGGATAATGATAAGTTGAGCTCTACAATTTAAGTACGTTCTATCTCTAGTTCTTGCGCACACACACACACACGAATAGTTTTTTTTAACCGTTCATTTGTTATATTAGAATAATTAAAACAAAATAGACATGTTTCTATGCATATTTACGTGCGTTCGACAATTATCCTTTTTCCATTTATTCTAGACTTTATTTTGATCAAAATTTCTAAATAGTAAATGAATTTCTATAAAAGTTAATTAAAATCTTATTCTTTCAGAACACAGATTCAAAAACTCATACGATCACACTACATTGTAAAACACGCTTCAATAATTATTCTTATATATAGCAAAAGTTGATCTAAAACAAGTTTGTCATGTTGAAAGCTTTTATTAACATAATTATTATTGAATTTTTTATTTTCAATGATCATCTGATCTCAAAGGTTAACCGTATTTATGGAACATGATGATAAGTATGACTATAAACCGTTTGTCCAAATAATATACATGAAAAATTTTTTAAAGTACAATTCTGTAAGTTATCATTTAATAAATTACTATATAGTCATGAAAAATGAATTAATTTTTTATTTTGATAAAAAATCGGGTAAATATGTATGTACTGATTAAGAATTAACTAAATATTCATGCTGTTCATGAACATCAGAACAAATTCAGCTTTCATCAAAATGTGTTATGATTTAGGATATATATTAGAAAACAGCTCTTCCAAAAACTGATTCTAATAATCAAATGAGAATTAATTTTTTAATTTAATTAAATCTGAAAAATCAAGGATAATTCGGGTTAGATTTTTCAGAGCTAAATTTAGAACAAAAAATCTGAATTAACTTATTATACTGATAGCTAAAATCTCGACCAGTGTATGTTCTTTTAATTGAAAGAAAAAAGAAATCTACTCATTTTTATGAGAAAAAAGAACGTAATTATCATTATATGACCAATAGAATTTCAATTCAACAGAAGAAGAATTCTTTATATTGCGTAGAAATGTTGCAGGACAGACAGCTTTTATTTATCTTAAGAACGAAGATGCATGATTGACAACTTGTTCAAATTCTCTAAGTAGGTACATTTTAATTTTTCTTTTTTTTGTCACATCGGATGAATATGTTCTTTGATGAAATAAAGTACAATGTAATAGTAAAACACAAATGATCTTTTTTTTTTTTTCTTCGATTTCTTGCATGAATATGAAAGATAAAATATAGGAATTTCTTATTTTATGTTGCTTTCTTTTTGTAAAGATTAATGCATGACAGTATTGATTCTCCATTTATTTGCTTCATATGAATAGGCAGTACGAGTAGGCATTACCGACTGTAAAAACTCTGATGTTGTCAGAATTCCATGACATTATCACTATATAATTTTTAAACTTCGAAGAACAAGAAAAACAGTGTCAGAAAATCTTCTATCATAGCTCTATAAGTATTCGATAACAATGGTTGTAAGTTATTAATAATATGTGAAAAGAAGACAGACATTTTTCATTTTCTACAAACTCCTGCAGTCAAATTTTCTACGTGTTTGTTTTTCGGTATAGGGTATATAGAGATCTACTATTAAAAATCATATCTACATAATAGATATAAACAGTAAGACAGACCCATCCATATTATCCGGTCTTAATCGGTCATTCATTCAACAAAACTAAATTAAAGAGCACTATAGACTTGTATAGTCAAAGTGAAAATTATCAGAAAACTAGTACATTGCATTGACGCTTTTCTGTTCTTCAAAACGCTCTGTTTACATTTGTATCAAAAAATAATTCGATATTTGTAATCTGTTGACAGATGAAATCTTTATATATGATTTATACTAAAAAAAAAATAAAACACGTAGAAAATTTGACCGCATGAGTTTGTAGAAAATGAAAAATGTCGTATTTTCATGTATTATTAACAACTTACAACTATTGTTATCGAATAATTGTAGAGCTACGATAGAAGATTTTTTGACACCATTTTCTTGTTCTTCAAAATTCAACAATTATGTAGTGATAATGTCATGAAATTTTGACAACATCAACTTTCCATCGTATTTATTGTTGATACATGTTGGCTACTAAAATGTTCATCAGTCTCTACTATCGTTTGAAAAATAAGACCTGTAAGCAACAGAATGAATTTACAGTTTTCGAAATTATCAAAACATTTTTAGTTTGACTACGCTCGTTGTAGATCTACCTAGTGTTTTGACACAGTTCGATCTACACCGAACCATTTTAACAGCTGAAAAAGCTGTAGGTTGACAAAAAGATTTGAAAAATCTCATTTATATCAAAGTTTTCATTACATTAAAGCACTATTATGAGATTTTAGATTAAATTTTGACTGTATGACAAAGATCAGGTTTCATGTTATTTTCGATCTTATTTTTTATCGTTCGAAATCTTTCCTCTGAAAAAAACAGGAGAGAAATGAAATCAATGTATTATTAACTCGTATAATTCTCAATGTATGTATCATTTGAAACCTTATATGATCATAACTCTATTTACTCTTTTAGATTCTTCATAATTGTTTTAGTTTTTCAAATTAAAACATGCATTCATGCAAATTATAAATTATGACATCGTCAAAATTTGGGCCGCCTACTGTTATTATCGAATCGTGTCTATTCAAACAACCACAATTAGGTGATAATCGCCGTAGGTCATTTCCTCATTCAATAAGTATTCCAGATTTTTCTTTTAAACGAGATACTTATAGAGATTTGCGTAATAAACTTTGTTATTCCACATGTCAATTAAATCGAAAAGCTCAATCGTGTTCATCATTATCCTTCATCACAACAGCAACAGATTCGCTGAAATCATCTCTCTTTCGTCCACCTTCGCCATCACCATCTTCGAATTTAGGTCATTTTCTTGACCCAAGGAATGCAAATGCTCAAAAATTCAAGAATATTAGTGGTAGTACTTTAGGTACTCAGACAGCTAGTTCATCTAGATTTTCATTATACGAAAGCTTTTTCGATTTATCAGATAATGGACAAGAAAAATATCGAACATTGGAAGAGAAAAGACTGTTTGACCCAATAATATTACAGAGTAAATATCATTATGAACAATGCGATGATTTTCAAACCAAATGTAATAATTGGCTTCAAACTATTGAACGTGTATAGGTTCAATATGATATTTTAATATACCGATAATTCCACTAATTATAATCAATTATAGACGTTTTGATAAGAGTTTTTCTCTTGATTGCGACAACAGCTTTCGTGTTATTTTTGAAGAGTTCTCTATCAATCATACAAATTAAACCCGCTCCTTCCGCAAAGTTTCATGTGAAATACGTTCGTCAAAATTTCTGGAATATAGGCATGCAAGCAATGAGTAATTCTCTTCAGTATGTGTCAGTGTCAGTTAACTAAATCATGATTGTTCTTAATTTTTCTTTATTTTTACGAAAAAAATATCAATGTTATACAGTAAAAGCAACGTAATAGTGAATTGTTGAGCAAATGATAACTATAAAAACATGATAGAAATTAGTCATCTTCCACCACTAAATGACTTAAAAAATCTTTGTATGTACATATTCGTGTTGTTTCGTTATCTAAAGCAATTGTCATAAAATCTTGAAATTCTTCTTCGTTGAACGGCTCGCCTATGATAAAAAAAAATAATGTTAATGTAAATAAATGCAAATAACAAGTGAATAAAATACCTTCTTTGCAGAGAATTTGATGAAGTTCATCTTCGGTTAGACTTCCATTATTTTGAGTATCAAGTACTTGAAATGCGCGTAGAATTTTGCTCTCCGGTTCAGATTGATACCTGCAAAAGTGATAAAATAAAAAGTCTCAACAACTTTAGAGCGCAATAAAAGAAAAGTAAACTAACTATTCACCTGCGATCTTTTAAAATTCCGGTCATTAAATTTAAAAATCTTTCTAAATGAATATATTCGGGATTCGAGTCATCGGACATCTATAAGGAAATAAAAAACGTTATTTCGTTTTAATTTATATTTATTAAAAAAAGATCCACAATAGTGTACCGGAATCAATCAAGAAACCATTACTCTGGAATACTCTATCACAATAAAATATAATAAAAGGGAATAAATAAGAGAAGAGAAGAGAAAAAGGAGAAGAAAAATGCATCGGGGGAAGAAGAGACAAGCCAGATAAAATCTTACAAGGGAACATATTTAACTATTCCTCCTGGGAAAGAGTTAAAAAATATGCTATCTTGTGGAGAATTTTGCGCTGATCACGAATATTAATATCTTAGCTGCCCTCGTTATAATCTGAAGGAATCGAAAGGACACCGCCGGTTTTCAAAAATCTCTGCGCTCTGATTTGGTCTGATAGGGTAAAGTAGAGAAGTAGAAGGAGCATATGTCTGGATAGGTTTTAGAGTTTGCTGCAGTATGGTTGTTGAGAAGATCAGAAAGTTTGATGGGTACCGTTGCGATACATACGCCATAAAAAAAACGAGCATTGCCACGAGGTTCACCATGGCTGACTACGTATGTTTCGTGCGATTTCAATGTCACCGCAAGTCACCCGGTACCAATCCTGGGGTCGAAAGAAACTCGATAACACAGCTGAATCACTAAAAACTAAGGTTTCGCCAGGCGAGACCTTAGTTTTCAATGGTCCACCTGACCTTGGTGGCGAGACCCTGATTTTCAGTAATTCAGCTGTGTTATCGAGTTTCTTTCGACCACAGGGTTGGTACCCGGTGACTTGCGGTGACACTGAAGTCACATGAAACATACGTAGTCAGCCACGCTGAGCTCGTTTTTCGAAAGGAGTTTCAAAACATATGTTTATTCTACGAGTTTCAGAGTTATGGCTCGGTTCGTTTAAGTTTTAATCTTGAATCAGAACGAAATCGAGAATATAAATTCCCATTATATCATTCTGAAACTTAAACTATCAAAACACAAAATCAATCCTTGCACGAAGCTAGGATCGAACACACGAACTGCAAAAT